TGAGCTCAGCTGAGGAAAGCGAACATATACTCCTACTCCAACACTGTATAGGAAACTCCTGAGCTCAGCTGAGGAAAGCGAACATATATTCCTACTCCAACACTGTATAGGAAACTCCCAAGCTCAGCTGAAGAAAGCGAACATATATTCCTACTCCAACACTGTATAGGAAACTCCCAAGCTCAGCTGAAGAAAGCGAACATATATTCCTACTCCAACACTGTATAGGAAACTCCCAAGCTCAGCTGAAGAAAGCGAACATATATTCCTACTCCAACACTGTATAGGAAACTCCTGAGCTCAGCTGAGGAAAGCGAACATATATTCCTACTCCAACACTGTATAGGAAACTCCCAAGCTCAGCTGAGGAAAGCGAACATATATTCCTACTCCAACACTGCTAGTATATGTAGTTGAGTTGTTGCAGGCAACGTTGGTCCCTATCTGCGCTTTGAAAATGACGAGGTGAACACCTACCTTTCTCGTGATGGTGGTCTTACTTGGATAGAAGCGCACAAAGGTGTGTCGAAGGGGAAGTCGATGTATGGGCAATAGTGTGGGAAAATATGCACATAGCCTAATACAAGTATCGGTGAAAATATGTAAATTTCGAAAAAAAATGGGAAAATTTCGCTAGTTTTTTGAACACTTGTACGCTCATTCGTATATAAACTCCTATAATTAGTGAGGAAACTTCCGAGCTCAACAGAGACGAACAAAGTATGTTGTGGATAGCACTACTGCTGCTGGGCAGGTGCCTACATATACGAGTTCGGCGACCACGGAGGTCTGGTCGTGATGGCTGATGACATTCACAAAACTCGTCAAGTGGTGTTCTCTTGGAATGAAGGCCACAGCTGGTAGTTTCGTGATCCCTAGCAACAAGATCAGTAGTTGTCAGGTACGACTTTGATGTGTCCGAGCACGCAATGGCCGTTGACAACATCGTCACTGAGCCGACTTCGACTTCCACGAAGTTCTTGATGCATGGTACACGAAGTGATGCTGGTAGGAGGTCGCATTGGAGGGTGAGGGAGCAACAGTTGTATTTTCGTAGTCGTCGCGTTTGGTCATGTTCCCGTGGAAAAACATGCACATGGTCGGCTACATGTGTCTGTGAGAAATTTAGAGAAATTCTTATTGATTTTTGTACGCTTCTACCCGAATTCGAGTGTAAGCGCTTGGATTCAGCTGGAGAAAGCGAACTCATATCCTAACACTGATGTAGTACGTATAAGACCACCACCATCGCGCAGTGTAGAAAGTGGTCTTCAACTGTCGAGTACGTCAACACAGTGACAATGAGGTTGGGTATTGATCGTACAGAACACGGGGCATCTCCCAGCTGTTGCCGTAGATGCGATCGTGAATATTATGATAGTCTTGGAAATACGCACTGCATGAATGGCCGTTGTGTTAGCATTCATATCGCACAAATAGGAAGTCAAAACAAGTGTCTTGCCTTGGACTGAGTAGACTAAGTCGCGTTTCTGAGCTTTCCCAAGGTGGACTCCAGTTTATGCAGGTGTTCTCTACCACATCGATTTCGATACATTGGGCCAACCTCCATGCCAGGGCGCGTGGGCGGCGGACTCAGCCGGCAGTGACTATGAAACGTGGATACCGAGTGATGGGAGGTGCTCCTCCAGCTTGCCAACCTCGTTGGTTGTGGTATAAGCTTAGTCAGGACTACTGGCGATGCTTGTCTGCTGGGTAGAGTCATCAGCTACGTCAGACGGAAGAAGGACTCTGAGTGCTTCAATGGTGAGGGGTCTCGTTGTGTCGTACAGACCGCCGATGATAGAACCATGTGCTGTACTGTGGGAAATGTGCATAGTGATGGGGAAACTCCATCGCATTAGTAGAGATATTTCGAAGGCTTGCAGGTGAGAAATTTGAGAGGCCTGTAATACGCCATAACTGTCCCTGTACGAAAGAGGACTTTGACTGTGAGCTCGGCTTCGCCCGGAAGATCGGCAGCGTCGACTGCAAGCCTGTAGACGTTGATGCGGTAAGCTCAGGTGGCTGAGGCCTTGTACCCCACCATTGCGCAGGTGCTCACCCCTGCTGAAATGCAGTGTACTTCCTCTGGCATGTTCTTTGCTGATGCTTACAGAAAGGTTGTCGGGGATACGTGTGAAGGGGGATGGCGTCCTCAAAAGGAGCGAGTGCCCTGTCCTAGCCACAGTCCATTCTCCAGGGGTGACACTTCTTGTTCGTCTACCAGCGTGTCACCATTTCTCAGGCGCTGTAGCAACCCTGATGATTATCGGATTTCTGGTAGCTCTCATGTTTGGTGGAACTTATGTGTCTGGATCAGAGAGGTGGAAGAATACTATCGGCAACTATGGCTTCGAGACGCTGGAGTAGGGAGCCAGTGGTCGTAGAGATTCACTCCGTCGTCGCAGATACGTGAAGTACTCGACGATTGGTCGCAGTGCTAGGCTTGCTGTTAGTGCCACTGACGATATGAACCCTGACGAGTGAGTGATGAAGCAGGAGTGGCTCGAATGTGGCCTCCTATAGCTTCGACGACGCCCCGCAACTTGAGCATTACTCATCTAACGTGGGCAAGCACAAGAAGTTCGACGAGACTGGGGAAGAGCTCAGGGTGGGTCCATTGGTCAGCACTATATCGGAAGGATGTGTCCTGCTTGCAGAGCATAGAGTCTCCTAGGAGCAGTGAGAGCTCAGGAGAAGGCGGGGGCGGTGTACCCGACTTGCTCGGCATTGACGATGAAGATGAAGATTCGACCGACTCGACGGCTCAAGTGGGTGATCATTCTGTCGGGGCCGTCTTCAAGTGTCTTCTTTCATTCACTAGGTTCGGATGCGGTCTGGTGGTCTGGCCTCGGCTACCGGGGTTGTCCCCAGGCTGCAGCCTCCTCCTACTGGTCCCGCCAGTAGACACACCAACGCCGAGCATGGTGATGATGGGCCGCTACTGTAGAGAACTTTTAGATTGCGTATGCAACGAAGGCAGTATGCGACGCTGAACCATCAAAGTATCATGTTACTGTGATTATACACTCAGAGATGCCGATGATGTTATGTACATGCAACAGATTCGATGCTTCTCGTAGTAAGATATTGATTGAGTTGTTACAGTGTAGGACCATGCCGCTACACTAACAAAGTAGGAAACCCTCACACAGCTCCTGTCACTCCCGGCAGAAGCGAATGGATTCAAAACTCAACGGAATACAGATAGCGGTATCGGGATTTAATGTGAAGAGTATCACTCGCATGGGTTCAGTTGCATCCAAAAACCATACCGTTTGCAGATCATTGTTTGAGTAAACGAAGCGAAGAGGTGATTCTCTGATTGTGAACACATGTACAGCACATTGCAATCACGTGACACAGAGAATGGAAGGACTGACCTGCTGTGGGTATATCAATGAGAGATTTTCGTCTCCCACCAAGAGGTCTTCTCTCTATGCAGTGTTGTCATTCGACGTAACACAAACCATACCAATCGAGGAAACCCAAAAGCACACATGAAATCGAACAGTGTTAGATACTTGGTCGTCTGAGCAATAATGCTGTTGGCAGTGGCGGTGTACTTGTCACAGCCGACTGCTCTGCGATAGGCTCCTAGGCCTAATCCACTGCCCGTCGTGCATAAGCACCTACCAATACAGAGAGGGTTGTAGAGAGCAGTCAATGGCCTCACGTGATCATCGATGCGCTCCACATAGTGTGTATTATGCTTCACATCGATCCACAGTTGGGGATAGCTGAAACGACGCCACGACGAGTGCGATGAGAACAGATCACTAGCGCGACCGACTTGTCCAAATTCAAAGAGTCAACATTAGTGCACATCCACTCATGCGTCATAGTGGACCACCGAAGGAGATGCACACCGTTTCTTCTACCACATATGTACCTACATCGCGAGCCTCTAGAGCATGACATTGGGACTTACGCTGTTGACTCACTTTGATAGATGAGGCTGCACCACATAGTCGAGGCCAGCAGAGATGTGTGATAGAGGAACTCCGTGACCAGCTAGTTTTTGGGGATGCTCCCATGAGCAACCGTAGTTGGGAGCGTGCTGAACCTATATATGCTATCACCATTAGCGCTGGTGAAGAAAGAATTGACATACAAGGTTAGCATTGCATGCTATACGATGTAGCAAACCTCGTCGACGGCCCCTGTCAAGTAGCCTTGCTGTTCGGCCGACTGCGGATACAACAGGCTTGAAGATGGCTTCGGCTGGATTGAGCTGACGTGGCGGCCTGCCCAAGCCGATACGCCTGAAGTGAGGTCACGCCTGTCAAGACCTTCGCTGAACTACTCGGTGAGGCCTCGGCCTGCCCAGTGTACGATGGACAACGTGCGTGTATCAGGTAGAGCAGAGGGGGCCACTAGGACCTGCAAAGAAAGGGAACTCAATAGGGAGGCGGCGTGCTCAACGTACAACGCGCGCTATGAGATCAAGGTGGCGAACTGCGAACCTCAAACCTATGCCGCCGCCGAGCGACATACCAGCAACAACCTAAAGCATAAGCTCTTCAATCTCCACAGATCATCGCAACCTGATAATTTTTCGGAGTTGTCGAGTTGAGCGGAAGCAACAAAACGCTGCCGTCGAGATTGGACCAAACAAGACCTTCATAAGACTGCATCTAACATACTAAGACTCACAATTCTGCGGTCGGGATTGTCTTCGAACCATCCAATCTTCCGAACGCAGGACTCCACTTGTTCCAGCAGAAGGTCCGGCGTTAGGTCCTGCACCTCAGGGGGGTCGGGCGATCGGCCCATCCCGAGGAAATCTGATGGTCAATAAACAACTACTTCCGCAGGAGCATACCCCTACCCAACAAAACAGCCTCTCCGCCGTAGCGCGCAATAAGTTGATGCGGCAATCGCCCCCATGCAGTGTGGTCTTGCAGCCAACCGTGCAATAATAAAAATCTCGGGCCTAGTTCGTTGGCCTGATGCAAAGTTGACACCATTGCTAACAAGAGTAGCAAGGTGAGTGGATGCCACGGCGAATTGGGTACCG